TTGCTCCCCATAAAAAATAACAAAGCAAGTTGGATTCTCCTGACTTCAGGGCTGGAATGATGGGGTTACACCCACCCCCTCGGGGCTGAGCCGGAGAACTCATCCTGCGGACTCGAACCCCCTCTCCAGCCTTCAGTCCTCAGTGCGTGGACTCAGTCTGCCATCTGAGGCAACTGAGGCATAGGACCCAGAGGGGCACTGTAAGAACAAGACAGAACACGTTGCCCCCAAGAGCTGTGATGAGGGCTGCAAAGTGCACTCAGGAAGTGGATGCATCCAAGAACATCGGGGAGGGAGCCACCATCTCGTCCTAGTCCGTGTCCATTCCATCCGTGAACTTATAAATGAGGACACCGAAGGCCAGAGACAGGAAGCAACTTGCGTGTTCTTACAGCTCTTCAACAGCCAAGCCTCCCAGAACTGGCCCCTACTCCCAGTCCTATTTGAGCCCCTGGGGGGCTCAAACGTGACCTCGTCAGATGTTGTCCAGATGGCAGTGACTGCTGTGACTTGGGCTGGCTCTAAGTAAGTGAATTGCCACAATCGGCGGTCTCAGGCCCTGCTGAGTGGAGCAGAGTGGATCCTTGACATCACCCTGTTCCTCCATTTCCCTTGGCTGGGTCCTTTCTCTGCTCTCTTAGTTGCTTCCAGCTTCTGGCGTGCAGCGCGTACCCCCTCAGCAAAGTCCATGTGACCAAGTGTCTGCTCTGGAGACCAAGTGGTTGCAGTGCATCCATCCCCCTGAAGCGGTAGTGATTCAGGCAGTGCTCCCAAAACACAATGGGCCCTTCATCGATAAGGTAACACTGAACCAGAAGATCGACATCTACTGTGTCTAGTTGAGACCTGAGTGGAGAAGCTCCCCCCAGCCCCCCGCCTTCCAGTTGCTCAACTCTGCTTGGAAATAAAGTTGGCCCTTGAGTGATTCAACTCAGCCACACTCTTGCCCTGCTGGGAGATAGCACATCTCATCGACGGGGGCCCCTCGTCATGGATGAGGAAGCTCAGAAGCTCCCAGGCCTCTGTAGGGCAAGACTTGCTCTGTAGGCAGCTGACCCAGGAACTCCGGAAGCTCAGGCATGGAAGGAGCACAGAGGCAGCCCTGGCAAAGTAGCTAGAACAGCAAGCACCCCCAAACTCCTGCATGAGAAGCATCTGCAGGCTGCACCCCAAAGGTGTGTGGGGACCTGACGGAGGACATCCAGACGTGGGCTCAGACTTCTGCTGTCAGATCATCTGTTCTGGTGGTTGTAACCTACCAAGGCTCCTCCTGCCCTGTCTTCTGGCCAAGTTGCTTCCTTTTCCCTCTAATTTTCTTCCTTCACCTTCTCTACTCTCACCTTTCCTCTCCACATGCCCCTAACCTTTGCCATTCCCCATACTTGTGTCTACCAGCCTGATACCTGTCAGCTTAGATGTACTGGGGGCTCGCCAACAAAGCCCCAAGTCCCAGTCGTCCACCAGACCAGGGCAGTCTCTGAAGGCGTTTGAGACTGAGATGAGATGCTCACAGTGAAAGCAGAGACAAGCTGGGCAGGGGGTGGGCGTGAGGCTCCGTCCTCCAAGCAGTTTAGGATGGTGTTTCTATCAGATCTGCTCCCTTTTTTTTCATTCTGGATTAGATGGAAAAGCCAGGGTTTTGGGGGTGGCAGGGGATAGCCAGTAAAAGACCCCCGTCTTTTGGCTCCTGTTCCGAAGGAACATAGGGACCTGCGTGAGCCTGAGCTCGCAGCCCTCCCCTCGGAGCAGTCACTGGGCTGGGCAGCTGCCCCCACTCAGCACAGGCTCCGCCACTGTGGAAGCAGCTGGGATCAAAGTCGGCATGTCCATGTCGGTTGATCTTCCAGCCCAGAGAGCTATTACCTAATCCCTAAATCCCCAGTAATCCCTGCGCCCCTGGCTGTTCTAAAAAAGAGAGTAAAGTCCCTTTCTAGTGTAATGAAGGGCTATTTTTTAGTAACCTTTAAATTCTCCAGAGAGACAACATAATGGGAAACACATTCCCTGAATCTCATCTCCATATGCACCCTCTGGGGAAAGCCCCCCACCTAGGAGAACTCGCTCCTGGAGAGTCTCTGGTCTTCCCTCTGCACCCTAAATGTGGTCTAGAGATAATACCTGCATGAAAAGGAATAGTGAGCTAGAAATGAAGACTCGGCGCACAGAGTTGGTGCTTCCAATTTGACCCTGAACTTAATTCAGAAAGTTCCCCAAGGAATCTCTCTGACTAAGTGTGCAGAGCCGCGCCACACCACTGACTGTCACTCCGGGCCGGGGTCCGCACAAGCATGCCGAAGCCAGAGCAGGGCTTCCTCTCCGTCTGCCCGTGACCATAGCTGGAACGCTAGCCAGAGCCTGCCCTGCCTGGTCTTAGCCCACCCAGCCTCCGCTACGGAGTAAGAGCTTTCTTGGGTTTACGCCAATTGCAGGGACAGATTAAGTTAGTTGCCCCAGTATCTTTGCATTCTTGGAAATGAGCAGAGCAGTGGAAAACTAAGTTGAAACCATCACCTGCTCAAAAACTTGCCCATGCCTGTGGTTCAGGGCAGGTGGGTGGCTCTGTGCCTCCCACGAAGGGGAAAGCTCGAGGGTCTTCAGGCCTGTGGGGGGTTTCAGCTCACAAAGCCAAACTAGTGGTGGGAGAATGGCTTCTCAAGGCAGCGGACCAAGCCGTCCACAGGAGGACAGGCTCCAGAGGTATCTGTGCCAAAGTCAGGTGTCCACCCCTGAGCCCCCACCCCGAGCCGATCTTCCCTTCCACTGCAGCCAGGTTAGGGACACCCGAGAAATGTCCTGCGGGGTTGGCTGCAGGACATGGGTTCTCTGAGTCTGAGGACTACATTCAGGCTTCCTCCTTTTGTTCCGCATAGAATCATCCTGTGGTAACTTTCCAGGTTTACGATGAGTTGCTTATCGTTGCTGAGACCATGAGCCTCACAAACGCAGCTCCTCACATAAGCGCTGGCTTGGGGGGGAGGGCGACGCTTTCCAAGGTCAGAAGTGCCCTCCGGACAGCCAGGCGTAAGGCCGAATTCACTGCTGAGACTCCAGATTCCCCCCAAAGAGAGGTTCTCTGCAGACCTACCAGGGCGGGTCTGGGAAACACAGCACAGGCGCCCGAGAACCCCCATCCTTTCCCCCACTGCCGCCCTCGGAACGCCTGACTTCTTGTCTCCCATTCTAGGGATTATGATAACTCAGAGGATTAGCATAAGGATTATTCAATTAATACGTATTAATAAAACACGATCAAGGTGGTCAGAATAGATGGAAAACTAAATCTGAAGTACAATGATTCCAATAGATGAGACCTAAAATAGAACTGAAAAGGCGAAAATGCAGCAAGAACAGGGAAGATATCTTCAAATCCCAAAGGAAGAATTTGGAATGTTCCAGAAGCTAAATAAAACGTCTTGACGTTTTTGAACCATCAGAGGTTCCTTCCGTGGGGCCAACGGGCCCCAGTAGCTTCTCTAAATTGTCTCCATCCTGGCCCTGCCCAGGCGGGGTCAGCCCAGAGGTCCTGCCGGCTCCTGCCCGGCAGTTCTTAGGTAGCATGGACAGCTGTGGGGGATTTTAGGGTGGGCCTGCGAAGGAGCGGTGGGGTCATCCGTGGGGACTCTGGCTGGTGCCCTGCATTCTAGGTGGTGTGAATTCACCTGTGTGCACACAGGTACACACAGCCCCCTCACACACGCACACACGAGCCTAGAAACAAACCTCCTCCTCTACAGGAGCATACACACTTGCCCAGCATGAAATTCCCCATGTGAGTGTGTGTGTGGGTGTGTGTCTGTGTGTGCCAGCTCAGCCTGCCGACCAGTGCGAGTGACCCCTCAGCCCCCAGGCGTGTGGCCTGCCCTGGCAGCCGGTCTTCATCACGAAGCAGAAGTTGGGGTCTAGAACGTGCCCTGTCTATGCCTGGAGAAGCTTCCCTTGTCTTCTCTTCCCTTGTCTCCCATTCCCCAAAAAGGACATGCTACCAATTTGCTATAGGGGAAAAAGGAATTTGCTGAGAAATCTGTTATCAAAGAAGTATTTCCAGTCTTCAAGCAAATGTCTAATTGTGTGCATTTCCATCCTTCAAACTTCCATTCCATGTGTTTCTTGCCTGTACCTTAAAAACAGAAACGCAAGAGCAAGCACTTGAGTGGAGGGTAAAAGCAAAGCCATAACCTTCTAGTAAGAGTCGGCAGCTCAGAGGGCGAGACTCTGTCAGGCACTGAGCTCCATGCGCTGGGACATGGCAGCTTCCAGAATCAGGCCCAAGGAACTGGGAGAAAGGTTGCCAGGGGGGCTCCCCGTCGCCAGTAGCCTCAGCTCCTGCACCCCAAATGAGCTCAGCAGTCAGACACATAAAAATAATGTCTCCAAGTATTAATCATCGTATCCTAAATTGTCTGTAGTTTTCAATTTTAAAAAGAAAAAACTGGTGCTCACTATGTCAGGCCAATGGCTATGGCTCCCCGCACCTCCAGACCAGAAGGTAGGCAGGGCCGCCGAGTTTTGGGCTAGCCCCCCGTTATTGAGGGCGTGGGAGACACCTCCTGAGTGCCTCCTCCATGACAGCTGCACTCGGTCTTCCCTCCAAGCGGAGGGAGCTTGCTCAGAAGCCCCTTGCCCTGCGCTGTGCGGGGTGAGGGCCCGCCCTGAGCCACCGGTGCCTGGCAGGAGCCAGGCCCAGGGGCACCAGCCCTCAGAGATGTCTCAAGACACTCGGCTAACTTAAGAGACAAAAACCTCCATGCCCCAAATCCAGGCCTTCCGTCCCACGGGTGAACTATCTAATGCGTGGACAGAACGCTCCTAGGCCCGGCTGGAAGTGGGCCTGGCTTTGCAGAGCCCATGCTCACGGGCCCAGAACCACCAGGTCTGCGCATGGGGTGGCTTCCTTTTGCCCTCTCCTGCCACTGTTGCTCCTGTGTTAGCTGAGACCTAAAGTACCGGACATCTTCGTCGGAGACTCATTACAGCTTATCTCTATCTGCCTTTCTTTAAAGCCAGCTGAACATACCCAATGCTCTCCCTTTATGGTAAGACCAAGCTCCAGACCACGCTCTCAGCTTCTGTGACCCCCCTAACATCCCCACTCTGACCCCCCCCTCAACCCCAGAGTCTCCCGGGGCCCAGCCTGGCTCTCTTGCATGTGGTCTTCGCGTCTGTCATGCGCCTTGCCTGCCCTCGTGAGCTGTGAAGTGCTGTTTGTGTCAGGATGTTCTTCACCCCTGAGCTTTCCTTCAGGGGATAATTCACTGTGATCTTGACCTTCTAATAAGGAGCCACGGGGAGAGAATTGGACCCAAGGGCCATTCCTGTTAAACATCCTGAGGACGCCACTAGCTAAAGCCTACAATCCCGATCTGTTGGGTGACATCCAGATGGGGCACCTGTGGGGTCCCTGGGGAAGCTCCAGGGGAAAAGAAGGAAGCGATGGTCCAGGCGGGAGACGGGAGGCAGGCCTGCACCCCGCTGTTGGGAAGTGTCTGCAGCGACCAGCCTCTGTTCCTGAGCGTGGGCCTCAATTTCTAGTCCCCCAACAACGTTGGCCAGGATTTTTATTAAATTCCTGAAGTTGTTTAGAATTAGGCTGGAGATGCTCACTCTCCTGTAGCAGCAGAAAAACAAACCTGAGTGCCTCATTGGACCAGACTCAGAAGTCTGTGATTTACTGTGGCTAAGGGGAGGAGATGCCACTCACTGTGACTTTGAAGACTCCTTGATGCCTCCGAAAGGTTTCAGGGCCAAGAGTAGGTTTTTAAAAGGGTTGGTGGGTCGATTCCCTGAAGTCAGCAGGCAGAGACAAGACTGGGGTTGGGGGGATATTTCCCAAGGCAGAGCACCCCCGGGAGGCCCCTGGGGAAGGCCGGACCTGGATAGTGTACCCCACTTCCCAGGACAGCCGTCGCGATCTGCTTTTTCATTCAGCTGCCGTTTGGCTGACTGGGTGAGACGCTGTGTCCACACTGAAATGTGTTTATTCTCCTCCTAGAGAATGGGGGGGGGGGGCTCGGTGCCCAGACGGCAAGTGTGATTCTTGCCGTCTTGAGCGCCACATGCCCCTGTTGGCACCAACTTCTCAACTCTTGACACTCACAGCTGAAGTTCCCACTTCAGCGTATTCCCTCTCCTTTTTTCTCCTTTCCCGAACATGGTGGAACTGACAGCTGAGTTCTACAACCCCGGGCCTCCGAGGCAGACTCCTTTGGGGGCACACAGCCTCCTTTTATGGTGAGAAAACAGAATTTCAAGTAGACACACCAGTGGTAGAAATGCAGAGATTAAGGGCATCAAAGACTTCAAGATACACAGCAGGCGACGGCCCAGGGCTGCCACTGGTCCCTCCTGGCAGGCCCCCCGCAAACCCCCAGGAGCACTGAGGTCCCCCGCAACTGCATCCGAGGCAGCTCAGGTTTGGAAACAGAAATACTGTGACTCTCCCCCTGTCACATCTAAAATCCAGGAGAAACCCGCCCAGCTTGGTGTGTGCCCGCAGCCCAGCGTGGGCACAAGCATGCCCCTTATAAAGGCTGCTCGGGAGCTCTCTGCCTCCTTGGGGGTCTGCTGTTCTGCACAGGAGTGAGCGAGGGGCCTCTGGAGCCACGGCCCACCTGAGGGAATCAGGCAGGCCACAGGGTGAGAACAAAAAGCGCGTGGCGACCCTCAGGGCACCAGAAGTAGCAGGATCAAGACATGGCGATCGTCAGGCAGGTCCCGATCTAGAAATCACTAAAAATGAAGCAAGAGAAGAAGTGAGTCACAAAGTGGGGAGAGCCAGCAGGGGACCCTAGTAACAACCCCGAGACAACGCCTCCCTTGAGGGAGCGACAGGAACAGTAACAGGAAGGCCAAAGGTCCGTTCTCTCCCGGTGCTGCAGGGCGGGGTGAGCTGCACTAGCTCTGGGGACAGGCAAGTGGCTCCCTCGGGCTGCTGTGAGCAAGAGGAGGGTTAGGAGGATCAGCCCCCCACTCCCTGTTCGGGGGCAGCCTTTCTGCCCCCACCCCATCCCCACCCCGGCATGCCCGAGCCCCCAGGATCCTCCATGCCACAGGCCAAGGTGAGCCTTCAGCTGTACACCCAGCACCCTGCCCTAGCCCCAGCCCTCCAGGAGTCCCCAGGAAGACCATCTGCCCTGAGCCAGACCTCCTGCGCCTCACAACACAGCCCGACGTCTCTAGAGCTCGCTCCAGTGACGGCCTGACACACCCCACCCTACAGGCTGGTCAGGACTGGGGGGCTGCTCAGGACTGGGGGGGGGTCTCCTCTGCCACAGCTCCAGAGCCACGGGCGGCCAGGATGTAGGGTCCACTCAGTGGGCAGCCGATTGCAGTCCCTGTGCGCTCTCAGCCACCCTGTCCACCAGGACCCCCGCAGGCAGCCCTCCCTGTGGCCGGGACGGGACCCCTTGCTGGAACTGCAGCGAGCAGGGCAGGGCCTAGGCGGGCCAGCCGGAGGGCAGCTGGGTGCTGGCTCCCGGTCTCCAGGAGGACAGAGATCACGGACGTCCCTCGTGGACTCTCCTGTTGCTCCACTGTGGGGATTAAAAACAAGGGTTAAAGGGGATCAGGGCTGAGCGGAGGAACAGGGCCACGGGCGGGGGCCGGACACAGCTCGGCTCTGCAGAGACCACCGAGGGGTTGTCCGACCTCCCAGGAAGCAGGCAGGGGAGACTAGTGCAGCCAACCCAGCCCTGCCCGCTCCCCCTGCCCAGGGCAGTGTTGCTCAAGAAGGGCCCACCCGTTCTTGCCCCCACCCCCCTGTGGCTGTGTTAACTGCCGCCTCCCATTGCCGATGGGTTCCAGAATGCAGAGGAGAACTCGCGTATCTCCATCACCTTCTTCCGCCTCTTCCGGGTCATGCGTCTGGTCAAGCTGCTGAGCCGCGGGGAGGGCATCCGGACCCTGCTGTGGACCTTCATCAAGTCCTTCCAGGTAGCCACCCCTCCCCACCCCCACCTGCTCACCGGAAGGAACGGCGCCTCCCTGGCTCCCACACAAGGGGACACTGTCCCCGGGTGAGAGTGAAGGGGTGAGCACCGTCTGGTGACCTGGGGCACAGTGGACCTTGGGGGAGGGGTCTGGGCTTCGCTACCTCTCCACCCCTGGCTTTTTTTGTTTTTGAAGTGACATCATCGGGCTAGATTTGTGGTTTTCAGGGCCTCCCCCCCCCAAGGCCCAGCTAGGAGCTGTGGAGGCTGAAAGGGTTCTGCTTTCTTCTGCCATTTATGTCCCTCCTGCAAGGACTGACCGCACGGGGGCTGTGTGTAGAACAGATTTGGAAAACATGGGCCCAGGTGATTTGCTGAGTGAGCTCCGAATACTGAGAACCTGGCTGTCCTGCTCCCTCTAGTCGGCATTTCAGCACCGTCTGTGCTGTTCGTGGGCCAAGCCAAACTCTCCAGGACCCTGGGGGCACACCACTGGAGGGGAGACAGCCTCCCCGCTGGGCACACAAGCCTGACCACAGGCTGGGGAGCGCCAGCCTTTTCTGGGCCACCATTTACAACTGTAGAATCAGAACCGTGACCGCCCCGGCCACTGGGGGTGCTATGTGAGTGTGAAGCCGGAGGGAGGCAAAGCTCTCTTAGGCCACTGCGTGGTGGCAGAGCACGGCCTGGGTTCGGGCCGCACTGGCCCCCAACCCGTGGGAGCACCCGAGGGTTCCCGAAGCAAGGAGGCTGGCCAGCAAGGCATAATCCCCGCTACCTCGCCAGCCCCAGCGGTCCGGGCCCAGGGTGGCCCCTAAAATGCACCTGAGGCCGAAACTGCTTCCAGAGGGAGGGCATTTGGCACAGCCAGGCCTCTGGCTAGTCCAGCAAGCAAGGGCCAGGCCGCTGCCTCCTCATGGCGGCCCTCCCCCTGTTGCAGGGCAGGGAGGACACCCCAGAAGCCCCAAATCTGCCTGTTCTAAATAGGTTCCGCTGTTCTGCCTCATCAAGACAAAATATAGAAGACCTTCCATGGAAAGGAACGTTGATATTAGTGTGCAGTACAGAAAAGACAATGCAGTTTCTATATCCAGCACCCAAAGCCACCCATCCCCTCGTGGGTGAAAGTCCCCCCAAACAGGATTGGCCCAAAGCAAGGGAGAAAAGCACCTTCAGGCGGGGACCCATGGAAAAGGGTCAGAGGCAGACGGGTCTGGGAGGAAAAGAGCAAAATCAAAGCCAAGATAAACGCTGCCATAGTCTCCTCCCGCGGGCCTCTCACCCGCGAGTGTCACCCAGTCCAGGTCCAGGAAGCAAGAGCCGCTTCTTCACCTGTCTCTGCAGCCCGGGCCTCCTCAGGTCTCCTGGCCTCCATCCTGCTGCCTCTCCAGCCTCTCCTCTAGCTTTCTTCTCCCAGCTCAGCTCCACCCTCCTCTGGGTGGGACAGGGAACCTGGAAGCCCCCCTTTTCCTGGGGGTCCCGTTACACCCCCAAGCAGGTGGCCCCCTTCTCTACCCTCACCTCAGCCCCACTCAGCCCTAGGAGGTCTGGAGACCCAGGTGGGGCCAGCCAGAGTGGGCTGTCCTTGTCTTTGGGGGCCCCGTGGAGGTACGGTCATAAATGAGTACACACGACCCCCCAACACGCTCACCCACCTCCGCCCCGGGCATTTCCGGGTGGGCGGGAAGAGGCCTGAGTCCCCGGGGCTTTGGGGGGGGCGTTGGTTGCGGGGTCGGGGTGTGAGCCCCACGCAGAAGGTAGCGTGGTCTCGCAGCGCCCTCTAGTGGGGCGCGGGCGCCTCGCAGGCATCCTCGCGGAGATGTGGGGCGAGGCCCGAATTCCCTAGTGGACCCTGAGGCCCCAGGCCAAGCGCGGGCAAAGGAAGCGGCCCGAGCTATGGGTCATATAATACCTGAGTGAATAAAATGTCTGGGGTCTGACCACGTGCAAGGCAGCCCACTAAGCGCCCTGTAAACCCTGAGTTTACCCCTGAGCTCCCTGAGAAGTAGTGATTATTGTTCTCGAGCTCTCTGAGGCTCAGAGGTTAAGTGGCAGGCCCAAGCGCCCCTGGCTAAACAGTGGTAGAACTAAGATTTGCATCCCTGATTTTTTCTCTTATTGAAGTTTTTCCTTAGCCAATGTCGTTGTTACTAGTGGAGCTGTATAAACGTGGGGTATAGCCTGCCGGCACCCCATGCCTCCGCAGGGACCCGCAGTGGTGTCCCCCACAACTTGCTTGTACAGGTGCACGCCTGTGGGGAGGTCATCCGGATCCTCCTCGATTGCCTTTACGAAAGGGGTATCGCACTGCTTCCTTGCTCCGCGCCAGACCTCAGTGCGCTGGGGGGCGGACTCCAGGGGCCCCGCGGGCTCACCGGTCTCTGCTTCCCGCAGGCGCTCCCCTACGTGGCTCTCCTCATAGTGATGCTGTTCTTCATCTACGCTGTGATCGGGATGCAGGTAGGATGCCTCCGCACGGCTCGCGTTTCCTGCCGCCCTCCCACGTTCCCCATTGCCCTCCTCCCGGTCCTGACTGTCCCTCTCCCACCTTCGGAGGCTGCTCGGGGCGCAGGGACTCGAGCGTCTCCCAAATGGACCTCCTGCTACATCCAGGCCAGCGGCGGGGTGATGACACTGTGTCAGCTCAGCAAGCTGCCACGCCCTGCCGCAGGCCTGGTCAGTTCCTGGTAGGGAGAACTACATTCCTGTTCCTCAAGGAGCCAGAAGAGGGGCCCTTGCCAGGAAGCAGCGAGAAGGGAGCAGGCTGTCTGAAGAGCACTCCTCCTCCCTGTGCCCGGGCCTGAGGGCTGAGAACGTCCCCGGCCAGTGTCATTCCTGAGGTGCTAAAGACTAAGGACAGGCGGGGGCTGGGGAAGGAGCCCTTTCGCGATGGCCCTGCAGCCCAGGAGACCCAGGCTCTCCAAATCCAGAGTTCTCCAGCCTTCCCTCAGGGCTCCGGGAGAAGACCCCCCCCCCCAACCAGCCAGGAGCTTTTCCTCAGCGGCTCCTTACATAAGATCCCTTTGCTGGCTCATTGCAGAAAGAGCCAAAGGTTCATAAGCCTCTACATGAAAAGAGCTCCCTGGCCGCCTGATCAAGGGCACCTGCTTCTGAGACAAACATAGCTTTAAAGGGGGGAAGGGGGAGGCTCTGACTTAAACTCACCCAAGTCCCAGATCACTTCTATCACTCAGAAATCCAGGAGCTAAATCTGGAAGCATGCTTGGGCACGTGGCACCAAGACAGCAAAGAAAAGGCCAGAAGAAAGCGCCCTGGGAAACTCATGTGGTGGGCTCTAGCTAATACCCCGCATGGGCACTCGGAAGTTGCTGAGAGCAGGTCTCAGACATCCTCACTATGAAAAACCTGCACTGTGTTAAGTACGTGAGGTGATGGGTGTGTTAGGTAACGTGATGTTATAAGCAGTCAGTGATGTATATGTACACATATAGCAGATCACCACGTTGTACATCTTAAATATGCAAGTTATATGTGTCAATCATTTCTCAGCAGTGTTTTTAGGAGAAAAAAAATGCTCAGGAATCTGCAGAAAACCAGACAAGGCCAATGAGCCTTCTGCCCCTACGCAGAGCAGGGTCTCGGCCTCACCCCAGCTCCCACTGGGCCATAGTCCCTCTCTCCAGGGCCACGGCTCTGACACCTGTCCAGTGTGGGGGTTGGAATCAGGACTGGACAGGGTAGCAGGTGCCTGTCCCCATGAGGCCCCACCAGAGGGCATCAGCTTATGCGCCAACCTGTCCCAAGGTCAGCCCTGTCTCAGGGCTGGGAGCCAGGCCCTCTGCCCACAGCTCACAGACCCTTCTCCTCTCCCCCTGCCAGGTGTTTGGAAAAATTGCCCTGAATGACACCACAGAGATCAACCGGAACAACAACTTCCAGACCTTCCCCCAAGCTGTGCTGCTCCTCTTCAGGTGGGTCTCTGAGGGTGGGCGCACACAGTCACCTGCACCATGTAGGCCAGTGTCTGGTTGCAGACCAAGAGCAATGAACTCTCTCCAGGGACAGGAAGACACTGGGGCCGGACCTCATGCCCTGACTGGGAAGCCAGGTGTTTCACTGTTACTTATAGTAGCTTCCATAGAGCCAGCCCCTGGCCATTGGCACACCTGCTGGAGCTGCCTGACCCCTTAGGGTACCCAGAGTCAAATACTGAAAGCACTCTGGTTTGGACGCTGAACAGGCTCAAAGCCAAACCTGTAATAACCTCACTTGTGACCTTGAACACGATATCTAGCTTCTCTGAGTCTTGGTTTCTACATAAAACAGAGGTACAAACTTCAGGATATTTGGTGTGCTGGGGGGCACAAGACATTGGTACCCCCATGTTCATAGTGGCATTACTCATAAAAGCTAATATATGAAAACAAATTAAGTGTCCATCCACAGTTGAATGGATAAGCAAAACATATATATATATCTCGATGCAGGTGATGGAATAGTATTCAGCCTTGAAAAAGGAATGGGAAGCCTGCAATAGGCTATAAGATGGGCAATATTTGAGAATATAATGCTAAGTGAATTATCCAGTCCCAGAGGACAAATGCTGTGTGATTCCACTTCTATCAGGTATCTAGAGTAATCAAAATCATAAAGATGGAAAGTAAAATGGTGATTGCTAAGGGTTAGGGAAGGGGCGATGGGGAAGTATTGTTTAATGGATCTAGAGTTTGTTTAAGAAGATGAAAGAGTTCTGGAAATGGATGGTAGTGATAACTCCACAACAATGTGAATGGATCTAATACCCTGACCTATACACTGAGAAATGGCTAAGATAGAAAATTATATGCAATGCATATTTTACCAAAATAAAATTTCTTTTTAAAAGATTGTCTCTGTAGACTACACAAGAGAGGCGACAGAAGTAATAAGAGAGCCCAGCAGATCTGTAAGCTAGGGTATTCTCTCTACATCAATAGCAGACAGAAAGTATCACTTAAAACTTACCACTTATAACAGAAACATTTTGTTTGGTTATGTTAAATAAAATCCCAAAATAATATAACCCAAAAAAAGTGTATGGAAAAACTATAAAATTTTATCTTTTGATCAAGGGCTAAATAATAGCTTTCAGATTCCCCAGGTTAATCTATACTTTAGTGCGATTCCAATAAGACTCTCAATGGATTACTCATGCGATTTTACAAGCTGATTTGACTGTGTCTATGGAAGAAACATAAATAAATAAAGTAACCAAGACAGCTTTGAAGAAAACGATTGGAACATCTCATTATTGACAGAGCAAGACTTACCATTAAACTATAGTGAGTAAGACGCGTGGGCCTTTGATTCTAACGTAGAAGTCAACCAGAGGCATAAGATGAAGACACTGGCTGGAGACCCTTACTTCACACGTATCATTTATGTGGGCGGGGATATTTCAAGTCAGTAAGTCAAGATAGACTACTCAGTAAATTATGTTAAGCTCTCCTAGAACTGATAATTGGTCAGTGTGTAAAATTTAAATGTTCTCGAACAAAAAAGAAAAGATAAATAGGTGTGTGAATTGACTGGGGGAAGGACTCCTTGACAGTGTATACAACTATCAAATCATTGTGATGCACATTTCTCTTACATTTTGGTCTATTCTGCCCACCCCATGTTAATTACAGTATTGTTTGTAATAACAAAAAAGAAAAGAAAAACCTAACAGGGTGGGTGGATTTGTTTTTTAATGGTGCAGTCAGAGCATAGTCCTGCACAGGATGTAAGAGGAAGGACGACAGCTACATTCTGAATTCCAGACACTTAACATGGTTTGCGAAAGAGCCAGTTTGCAGCAAAGGTGCAGCTTCTGGCCATTTCTATAAAGTTTGGAAACAACCAAAGCAATGCTGTACATTTTCAGACCTGGTGAATGTGTCCTAAAATTCAGAGAAAAATAAGCATCAAATTCAGCAGAGTGCTGGTCGCCCTCCAGGGGCGGAGGAAGGGCCAGGGTGGCTCCCAGGTTGGCTCCAGAGCGCGTCCCTCTCTCCTCAGATGTGCTACAGGAGAGGCCTGGCAGGACATCATGCTGGCCTGCATGCCAGGCAAGAAGTGTGCCCCGGAGTCAGAGCCCAGCAACAGCACAGAGGGGGAAACGCCTTGTGGCAGCAGCTTCGCCGTCTTCTACTTCATCAGCTTCTACATGCTCTGTGCCTTCCTGGTGAGCTGAGCTGGGACGGACCTGCTGGGCAGCCCGAGCCCACGGTCCCCACAGGTCCTGGCCGGGGCAGCCCCATCAGAGGAGCCGCTTGGGAAGGATGAGTTAGAGGGGTGCCCAGACACACTGGGAAAGGGCAGGAAGCCCAGGGCAGGGGGCGCGTCGCCACAGCTATCTTGTCCACACTTGATCCTGGACATGGCGTCGTTTTCCCGAAGGACAGAGGCAGAGGACATTGTGGAGGCCTGGAAGCAACTTACACTTTGGTGGCGGGGCGGTGGGGGGGCACTTTGATAAGCAATGGGAAGATGATGGATAAAGCGGCTCTGCCCTTGGCACTCCAAGGCAGGAAGAAGCCGTCAGGCCCACCTGGAGCATTTAGCCCGTGCTGTTCTGAGGGCGCCGTGTCAAGTTCATATTCGAGAGACCCAGGGGGGCTGGTGCTGTAAATGAGGGAATGGAGCTGGTCTTTAGAAACGCTGGCTTCGGCCGCGCCGGGCCCCAGCTGGCACAGTGGCTGCAAGGTGCCAGGGCCTCAGAGCCTCTCACTGTCCTGTTCTCTGCAGATCATCAATCTCTTTGTAGCTGTCATCATGGACAACTTTGACTACCTGACAAGGGACTGGTCCATCCTGGGTCCCCACCATCTGGATGAATTTAAAAGAATCTGGGCAGAGTATGATCCTGAAGCCAAGTAAGTTCCCGGCAGGCAATCCTGGCTCTCAAAGCCGAGAGAGGGGCCTGAGGGGCCAGCGCCGTAGACGCATTGGAGATGGGGGTCGCACTGGGCGGCTCCATGTCTAAAGTTTATGTTTTGAAGGTTTACCAGTTAGCCACAGAGAGTCCCTCCTACAGGTGCCTGGTCCCGGGCTGCTGGCCGCGTCCGTGGCCTCTGACTGACCTTCCCCCCACTCCCTCTTGTAGGGGTCGAATCAAACACCTAGATGTGGTGACCCTGCTCCGGAGGATACAACCCCCGCTGGGCTTCGGGAAGCTGTGCCCTCACCGCGTGGCTTGCAAAGTAAGGGGTGACACGAATTCAAGGGAGACGGAACATCCAGAACCAAGGGGCCTCTCTGCTGTGCCTTTGGCTATGGCCTTGACCAGACCATTGTGCCTGAGCTGGGTACTGTAGTTTAAGTTTCCTTCCAGCAGTAATTCCTGGGGGAAACAAAGGTCCGGTGAGGACAAATGCCACTCCTATCTTGTGAGGGGAGGTTCGATGACTTAGGACAGAGCCAAGCTCTCCCCAGAACTGGTTTTGAATACTCTTGGGTGACCCCTGCTATTCCGCCCCCAGCCCCAGCCCCACCCCGCTGCTCCCAACACAGACACCCAGTTCTGGTGCTCCCTCCCGGCCGTGAGGGTCTGTGTGAACCACTTTCCTTGACCACCGGCTCTGCTCCCTCTCCCCGTCAGCGCCTGGTCTCCATGAACATGCCTCTGAACAGTGACGGCACGGTCATGTTCAATGCCACCTTGTTTGCCCTGGTCCGGACGGCCCTGAGGATCAAAACAGAAGGTAAGAGTCACCTGGGAGAGCCAGGCCCGCCGAGAGGCACCCAGAGGCCCTCAGCGCGCTCCCAGGCCTCCACCCCGCACGGCGGTAGCTGTGCCCCCACCAGAAGGCCTGGCCTGCTCATGCTTCCTCCGCTTCTTCAGTGGCTCCTGAACTGAAGAACTGAGGTACAGGCCCAAGTTGGGGTGGGGGTGAGAGAATTCACCAGAGACAGCGTGGGGAGCAGAGTGGGGGCAGATCTACTGAAATCCAAGGCTGAGGGGAGCAGCAGGCGGGCCAGGAGAGGTCTGCTGCACCATGTGGGTCAGCTCCCTGGCCAGGGATCGAACTCCTGCTGCAATGGCTGGTGAAAATCTGCTAGTACCGTGTATTTAACCCCTGCACCACCAGGAAGACTGTGAACCCTAGCTTTTCATCAAGCCCTGGAAATTATTCCAGGTGACATCTTGAAATCATGAGATATGGTTCAAAGAGCAGGAAAGCAAGTGGTTCCTGAAGCAGAACCAAACCCCAATACAAGGAATTTATTTGCCCCCAATTTCACCGGTCTTTCCAATGCCCAGCTCGCTCTTTACGTCATGATGGCAAATGATGGCAGCCGTGGAGGCCATCACAGACAGCTGAGCTGGCTGCTCCTAGCACAAGGTGCTCAGCCAGCCACCAGGTGGGGCTAACTCTCACATGGGCTGCACTCCTCAGGCCTTGCTTCAGGAAAGGTTTCCCGGGAGCAAGCACCTGCAGCTCCTGCACCAAGGTGCCCACTGGGCGCGCAGCACCTTGGCTAAGACAGTCCTCAGTCCTTTGAAATGATATGTTTCTGGACCGCACCAGGACAAAGGCAGTCCAGTCAGCACCTCAGCAGGCCACCCACCGCCAGGAACAGCTCGCACAGGACAGCGTTTCCACTGTCACGGAGGGTGAAAGACTCTGCCTGGGAATCAGCATTCACCATGGCGTGTCCCATGCCCCAGACCAGACTTTCTGAACCTCTAAACATGGGCTTGGAAATCTACGACTTGAATCAGCTACATGGATAACTCCTAAGGGAACCAAACTTTGAGACCAACTAGTAGAGTAGTTAGGCAAAACCCAGACAAGACAAGAATATGGTTTATTCCCTCTTTTTTATCTTTTGATCTCGGGCTGCTGTCCTGTGCTGTCCTTTGGAGGCGCAGAGGGAGCTCGGCCTGCAGATAGGCCGAAGGAGTCTGGTAACTTGTGATGAGTCATTTCTACGCAATCTCGCGTTCACGTCTTCACTCAGAAATTAAGAAAGATGATGACATGGGAGTTGCATTCTGGGTTATTTCCACCCAGAGAAGCGCCCCTTCTCAGTTAAATCCTCCCAGAAAAAAATAAAACATCTGAAACGAAGGGAGACGAGAGCCAGCCTGCGCGGTAACAAGCAAAATAAGGAGCTGATCTTACGCCAGCAAAACGGTTCAAGTCCTGCTGCTAAACTAGAGAAACAACGACCGAAAAATAATCTCAAAAACTAAAGCAAAACCCCAATCTGAGACAGGCGTAAGTAGGCTGGTTTCTAAGACCAGACAAATTCACATTTAGTGTGTAACGCTGGAGGAGATGGGAAATCCGCTTTCATGTCAGCATCGAGAGGCAGTGAGAGTGGGCTCAGCTGTGACTTTACCTTCCTTCTCCATGCCCTCCTGTTACTTCTCAGTTTTCCTACAGTGATTATTGTTACGCTTATGTCCGGGAGAAAAGGGTTCTTTTCCAAGGAGAGAAGACAGAATGGCTGCTTGGAGGAAGATGCTGCAATTCTTTAAGCCCTTTGGAAGTGGGGGCTGTAAGTTTCATTCTGTGGAGGAACTAACGAGGCCAGGACTCAGCTGCCGAAGATGCAGTCAGAGCCAGCCAGATGCCAGGTGACGGGAGGGTCCCAGCTGCTGGTAACAGCGCCCAGGGAGCAGAGTCAAAGGAACCCAACACAGAGAGCCGATCTCAATAAAGTGGAACTGCAGAGACAAGGGGGGTCGTCAGCTATGTGGGCACCCCAGTGAAATCAAGAATGAAAGAAATCTTCACACACAACGTTGGCCCCGGGGCCCCAAAGCTGTATCAGCCACTTACAGTCCTGTTAGGTGATAGATCTCATGTCACATCCTCGAATCACAACGAAATAAAAACTTTAAGAGAATAACTACAATAGGCCTGCATGTCAACTCAGGGTGAAACTGCATCACAGAGAAGCCCCCTCAGATATGTTCAGCTGGGGAAAGCAGAAGACAAGGCAAGTTCTTAGAAGCTACTAGAAAGAAATGTGAGAAGCCTGAAAATTAACCCTTACATCAGTCCTCACCCTTAAGACTTTGGAGAGTGGATGGAATTAGAGGGTTTTGATTTTTTTAAGATTTATTTATTTATTTAGACATACAGAACTGGAGTACAGGCCAGAGGTGCAGAGGTAGTGAGAGGCTTCGCCAGAGACAAAGTGGGGAGCAAAACAGGCAGATCGATGAAGTGCACTGCTGAGGGGAGCAGCAGGCGGGTCAGGAGAGGTCTGCCGCGCCATGTGGGTCAGCTCCAGGATCGGGGATCGAACTCATGCTGAAGTGGCTGCAGTGCTGAGTCCTAACCCGTTGTACCACCAGGGAGGGCCAGAATTAGAATTTAACACCTACTTCAGAGGACGGGGCCCAAACCAAACCAACCTTTAGAATATAGAAGGAAGAGATTTTAAAATGCTTAGACGACAGAACACAGTTGCTAGTGACATTTCACAGCTACCTGGATCATGAGAATAAATGAAGTCTTGCAAAAACATGGACGACCCTTTCAGAGGATAGGTTTGTTGCCTAGGCCTGCAGTAACAGATTATTACAAAAAGGGGTGCTTGGACCCTCCCTGGTGGCACAACGGATTAGGAAGCAGCACTGCAGGCTGGCCACAGCCCCTTCAGTGTGAGTTTGCTCCCCACCCTGTAGCTGACCCACAGGGCGCGGCAGACCTCTCCTGACCCGCCCACTGCTCCCCTCAGCAGTGCACTTCATCAGTCGGCCTGTTCTGCTCCCCACTCTGTCTCTGGTGAAGCCTCTCACCACCCCTGCACCTCTGGCCTGTACCCCAATTCTGCAGCATAAGTAAATAAATCTTATTTAAAAGTCTTCCCCCCCCCCAAAAAAAAAGTGCTTAAAACAACAAAAACTTGCCGCTGGAAGTCCACGTTCCATGGGGACGGCTTCGCTCCCCAAGCTCAGAGGGGGGCCTGTTCCCCCCGCTCTCTCCGGCACCTGCCCAGAACACTGGCTGTTCCCAGTTTGTTGCTAGCTCCAGGCTCCGCCTTCACCCTCACCAGCCTCTCAGCTGTGTGTCTCTGTGTGTCTCTTCTCTTCTTACCACCATACTGGACTTCGGGGCCACCCTAACCCGACACGCCTCATCTTAGTCCCTCACACCTGCAACAAGCCTGTGTCCAACCAAAGTTGCTGCTGAGGTTCCAGGCGGACGTGGGTGGGAGAGGGGCACTATTCAGACCGTCCCAGCTTAGTTCGAGACTGCTACCATTGGTGGAATTAGCCTCATGCAGCTGACTGGTTGGCATCGTGTGATTCATATATGTGCTCCATAGAGTTTCATGTGTCTCAGTCCAAGTGCCTTAGCCATGAAGGGCAATACTTGCCTCCATACGGGGACGCCCAGGAGCAGTCCTTGGCTGGAAAGGCGGTTTGGGCCAGGGGACAGGGACCCAGGAGCCTGTCCCTGGCTCTACAGCCTTCCTGTTGGGCTACAGTGAGGGGCTACCCCCGGAGCACAGGGTGGATTTGAAGTCAGACACCAGCGCTCTGGCCACTGTGTCTCTCTGTCTCCTCTCTTAGCAGAAACGGACCCTGGACTGGTTTCCTGTTGCTGCATAACAAATTGCACCACCTTTAGGGCTTAAAATGACACCGGTCACAAGCTCACAGTTCTGTGGGTCAGGAGTCCAGCCCCGGAGTAGCTGAGAGCACAGTCTGCTCGGCCTGCCGTTACCCACATTTTCCGTGAGGCCATGACAATGGCCAGCCCCTTAGGCCCTCCTGGAGGGTGACTGTCCAGCTCCGTCTAGACACCTACAGTCTCTTATGCCCTAGGTGCCACCACCAAGGAAGCGGGGTGTCTGCTCCCCAGCAGGCAAGGAAAGGCGAGGCATGGCGTAGGATAGGGCCGGCGACAGGGCAGGCTCGGGAGAGTCAGGGCTACCTGTGGGGCTAAGTGTCGCCAGGCGTGGCCTCCACCATTCAGAGCAACAGATACTTTGGGGGCTCCGAGGGCCGAAGACCGTTTTAACTTTGCATCTCCCTCCCGCAGGGAACCTAGAACAAGCCAACGAGGAGTTGCGGGCCATAATAAAGAAGATCTGGAAGCGGACCAGCATGAAGCTGCTGGACCAAGTAGTGCCCCCTGCGGGTGGTGAGTGGTCCCCTCTCTGCCCCCAGGCACGTGCGGGCTGGCCTGGTTTCTCGGTCCTTCCTTTCCTCCAGCACTGGCACCCTGGGGACGTGTGCGCCACCCTGACATGTGCTCCTGAGTCCCCTGGGCCTGCAGGAGGCTTGCTTCCTCCGCTGGAAAATTCTAGAATGGGATGCATGTCACAGAATGCCAGGGTAGAAATCTGGTCTAGTCCTGCGTTTCACAGATGGGGCATGCAAAGCCCTGGAATGTTCACAGAGCATCCAAGGAAAGTCTGCAGAATGTAGATTTGCCCTTAGGCCCTGGACTGAATGCTGCAGGAAATAACAGGGCCCTGCAAAAAGAATCTTGAGGTTCTCCTGAGATTCCCCTCATTGTTGAAATTCACTTTGTTTTTCCTGGGTCATTGTTTCTCAGCCCTATTAAACCAAGCCCCTTTATACAGCAAGTGCTTTACAATGCCCCTAAAAATCAGCTGTTTTTCAAAATATAAATGCTTAGGCACAATTATACCAGAAGTTTTCTGATTGCTTGATTTTTTTTATATTTATTTTATTTATTTGTGCATATAAGAACTGGGGTGTAGGCCAGAGGGCATGCTGTGACAGGATTCAGCAGAGACAGAACTGGTGGTTCTACTGAAATCCACTGCTGAGGGGAGCAGCGGGCAAGACAGGAGAGGTCTGCTGTGCCATGTGGGTCACTCCCTGGCCATGAAGCAAACTCAGGCCGCAATGGTTGGCGAAATCTTGATAGTGCTGAGATTTTTAACCCCTGCACCACCAGGGAGGCCTTACACCAGAAGTTTTAATTAATGAAATGCTTATGTGCAACCACGGAAGATAAAGTGGTTTGTACTTAAAGGAAATAAAACAATATTGAATTCTGGTGACAATTTACATTTGCCATTATGAAGTAAATGCATCTGCGTAAGAATACGTACACTCACAGCCATGCACACGTGTAGAGCAAATGGGATCGGACCCAGTGGGTCACACACGATGACCCAAGGAAGGTCAGATGCTGACAACCCAGATACCCAAGGACATTGTCTCCAGGGACACAGTTTCCAAACTGCAAACCCCTCTAGATCAAATTGAAACAAAACAAAGTGCAATCTTCTATCCCGTTGCACAGCAGATATATTCCTGGAAATCCCCGGATATATTAAAGTCATGGGGAAAAAATGTACTGTGTTCAAATGTAAAAACAAATTAGGTTCTTAACTCGGGTAATTATAAGCAGATTGTTCCTCCTCTTGGACAATCAGCCTCACACCTGCCAGCCCCACAAATTGAGCTGTTGTGCAAAGCACACTTGTGCTTTAAGGGGCTCTCTAAAGCCATGTAATGCACCCACAAAGCGCTGTGACATCTAAACACACTTCTTCAGAAGAGAATCACCTCACAGAATGCAGCAGGGCTGAGAACCTTAAGCCATTTTGATGAAGTTTGCTCAAAGAACTGAAGTTCTTAGGCGCTCCATAGCTGAGCTGAGGCCACGTGGCGAGAACCTTGCAGAATCAAGATTCAAACTCAGATTGAGGGGCCCCAGGATTCCCACAGCCTCCCTCCCTCCTGACAGGGGGCGCGGGGCTTCCCTCCCTCAGGGAAGAGGCCCTTGCCAGGTGAGACACCGTCCAGCTTTGGCTTCTCTGAAGGGACGACTAGGAGCAGGAGCCACATGAGCCCCTCCCGTCACTCCACCAGCTCGCCCCAGGCCCCGCAGTCACAGAGATCTAGGGGATGGAGCCAGGGGGGCGCTTGGAGGGTTTGGAATGTTCCCCGTGGAGAGTGGTTGGCTTCTCCAGTGCCTGGCTCATGTTCAGGACACAGGCGGGGGGCCTTGCAGCAGGGAGTTAGGCCACATGGTAAGAAAACCTAGCCTGCCTGGTTGCAAGAACCCCAACTTAGCCAGGAGGAAGACACTCTTCCACTCCTCTGCTGCCAAGAGCCTTTAAGCAGAATGGTCAGCTCTTACAGGGTGACCAGCCTAGCAAGGACCTCCAAAGGCTTGGGCTTGGGTCAGCGTTAGGAACGTCAGGAAATGTCAGGGTTTGTTGTTGTTGTTGTTGTTTTAAGTGCTAAGTACTTTGGACAACAGATTACTTTTTCTGTTCAAAAAAAAATGTGCTTATTTGCAAGAGCATTTGCATGAGGATCTCTGAAGAATCCTCTAGACACTAATAAAGGTGTTAACGCAGGGGTAAGTAGGCAGATGGGGCGGGAGAGACTTTTCACTCTACTTCTTTATACCTTGTCTCTCCAAACCATATGCGTGAAATCCAAAATCGAAACTTAAAAAATTAAAGAAAATGGCCCTCCCTGGTGGCGTAGCGGGTTAAAGCACAGCACTGAGAATCTAAAGCCGCTTCCGCATGAGTTCGATCCCTGCCTGCCTGGGAGGTGACCACATGGCGTGGCAGACCCCTCCTGACCCGCCCGCTGCTCCCCTCAGCAGTGTACTTCGTTGATCTGCCTGTTCTGCTCCCCACTCTGTCTCTGGTGAAGCCTCTCACCCTCCGCATCTCTGGCCTGTACCCCAGTTCTGTATGAATAAATAAATAAATCTTAAAAAAAAATTAAGAAAATGTGGCTGCTGACAAATAATTCACGAAGCCACGCTGCGTTCATCTGCTTGCCTCCAATCCTCTCTCCTCTCTGTTCTCTCAGATGACGAGGTCACGGTTGGCAAGTTTTACGCTACCTTCCTGATCCAGGAGTACTTCCGGAAATTCAAGAAACGCAAAGAGCAGGGCCTCGTGGGCAAGCCCTCCCAGCGGAATGCCCTGTCCCTGCAGGTGAGGGACAGGGCCCACACCGCCCGAGGAGGCCCGGGACCGTCCTCTGACCACTGTCCCGCTCGTCTCGCCCCTGTGGGCTGGAGGCCAGTCCCTGCAGCAAGCTGAGAGTTCTCTGCCTTTGGGGCGGGCAGCGCCATTCCCTCCTGCTGTGTCTCTCTCTCTCACACACACACACTCAGCCCTCCACTGGCCCCCGCTTGGCCCCAGTGCTCTCTGGAGTGTCCTTCAAGATGCACCTTCACTTTCCCGGCCGGGCCAGTGCATTCCTCCATTTTGGGGTGGACCAGAGGCCCCGACGCCCCCAGCCCGGATTGACATCCCACACCCCTTGCCTGCCTTGGGGGAGGCGGAGGCCGGGGGGGGCCCGGCAGTGGGCACCACGCCCTCACTGGCCTGGGTTTCAGGCCGGCTTGCGCACGCTGCACGACATCGGGCCAGAGATCCGACGGGCCATCTCTGGAGACCTGACCGCTGAGGAGGAGCTGGACAAGGCCATGAAGGAGGCTGTGTCTGCTGCCTCTGAAGACGACATCTTCAGGGTAGGCGCACGTGCCCGGGCGGAGAAGCCAGAGGGCAGGGTGATGCCCACACACCCGAGGCTGCAGCTCAGACCCGCCCCTGAAGCGCAGAGCAGCCTCGGGGGCCGTGGGTGCCCCCAGCGTGGCTGTGCCCCAGAGGGCAGGCACCTCCGTGCTGCCACGGCCTCGCCACCCACCTCCCCGCCCCGTCTCGCCCACAGAGGGCCGGTGGCCTGTTTGGCAACCACGTCAGCTACTACCAAAGCGACGGCCGGAGCGCCTTCCCCCAGACCTTCACCACGCAGCGCCCGCTGCACATCAACAAGGCGGGCAACAGCCCCGGCGACACCGCGTCGCCCTCCCACGAGAAGCTGGTGGACTCCACCTTCACCCCCAGCAGCTACTCCTCTACCGGCTCCAACGCCAACATCAACAACGCCAACAACACTGCCCTGGGCCGCTCCCCCCGCCCCACCGGCCACCCCAGCGCCGTCAGCACCGTGGAGGGCCACGGGCCGCCCTTGTCCCCTGCCATCCGGGTGCAGGAGGCGATGTGGAAGCTCAACACCCAGAGGTAAGCAGGAGGAAGGGTCCCCGAGGCCCACGCAAGGCCTCGTGTACCCCAGGGAGCCGAGACAAAGGGAGTTTGGCCCCACACCTGCCACGCACCCCTCGCACCCCTCGGCTGAGCCGGAGGCTGCTCCCCAGGCCCCAGCGAAAGAGCTAGGGGACACTGACTCCCGGCCCTGCCTTGGTTAAAGAGGCAGCCGCTCCGGGTGACCGCGCCCGCGCCCCTGGCCGGCAGCAGCCGGCGTCTCCAGGCCCTTCCTGCCTCCGTCAGCCCTAGCGGAGCCCTGGGCCCTGAGCTCCGGTCCTGGCCGACGACACGGCCTTCCCACGGACACCGGCTGGCCCAGCCTCTGCCCAGCCCGCCTGCCACCCCGATGAGGTGGACTTGGCGCGCCCCTGCTCTCCCGCTCCCACCCCTGGGGAGGGTGTGTGGGTGGCAGGGGCCCTCCGCAGGGCTCGCCCA